CGGGGGATGACGCCGAGGCCGCGGCGTCGCTCGCGTGAACCCTGCGTGCGAATCGGGCACCGAACATCGCGACGCGCGGTCTCGCGCGGGCGTCGACCGCGCGCGCGATCGCGAGGGGTGACGACGCGGCGTCGCGCGCGCGTGATACCGGGCGACGGCGACGCGGACGCGGGCGCGCGTGTGGGTCGACGGCGAGGAAAGGATCGGATTCAGGGCACCTGGTCACGGCGTCCGAGACGCGGGCGCGCGACATGTCCAGAGCGCGGGCGTACGTGCGAGCTGGGGTGGGGTGCGAGACCATGAGCGTGGTGCGCGTGGCGTCTCGTGGACGGACGGTGCGCGGTCTCGGGTACGCGGTCACGTTTGATGGGGTCGAGAGCGCGTGGGGCGGATCGACGGAGACGCGCGATGCGTGCGCGACGCGCGGCGGATCGGAGATCGAGGACGTGGACGGTGGGTTTGAGATTACGTTTGAGGTCGTCGGAGAGGTGGATGATGAGGTGGATGTGAGGTTGGTTCGGTCAGATAGGACGAGATACGCGCGGGAGGTACATTTAGGGTCGTTGGCGCGCGCGTTGCGGGCGATTGACGCGAACGCGACGAACGTCACGGCGACGAGAAAAGGAGTGATGCGGGCGAATCGACGCGATCGAAGTGATGCGTTTGATCGAGTGATTAGTGGACAGGGTGGGGTGCGAGCAAACTGGACGGAGAGCTTGATCCTTCTCGTGGATTCAGACATTTCAAAGCGGCGCGAGGTGGTGTTTCGCGAAATCGTCGTGGAGTCATTCCTCGATGGGCCAACCTACGACGAACGCGGTGGTACGAGCTACGTCAATCCGATCGCAAACACAACGATGAGTGCCGAGAAGGAGTCGTACGAGCGCGCGATCGAGACGCTGAGCGATGCTCTGCGCGACGCGCAAGACGGCGCCGATCAAACCATTCCGGAATCGGCCTCGTTCGCCCTCCTGTGGTCGCTTCTTGGCGCTTTCGGAGCTATTTTGATCGCCGTGGCGTGTTACGTGTACGTGCGAAGACGACGAAATCTTGGCGAGAAGGTGGAGAGTACGAAGACGGGCGAAATCGGAGCTGGAACTACGAGTACGTTGGAAGATTTGAATACAACGATTTCACCAATAAAATCGACGATGAGACGACGAGCGACACCAACAAAATCCCGGCACGTGACGGGAGAGGCTCCAATATTTGCGCACAGTACGGCGTTCGCGCGCGGCGCGGTGTCACGTGTCGATTCGCTCGGCGCGGCGTTACGTCGAGAAGACTCGCTCGCCGAAAATGGCAAACACGTGACACTGCACGTGAATCGCACGCAAGACAGCGAAGAATTTCATCAACACGCGCTTGAGATAAACGAGCGATCGGACGCGTACGACACCGCGACGTCGGACTGTGAATACGAGTATCAAGAGGAACAACACGTCGAACTCACCGCCGGCGATTTTGCAAACGAAATCATGAGAGCGTCATCGTATCCAATCGAGCGCAAAGCGTCCGAGTGCAGAGACGACACTTTCAGATTTATTTCGAACGACGAGCTCGATCGATACGTGCAAGTCATCGAGCGACTCGGCGCCGGTGGGCATTCGAGTGTCTACATGGCAAAGTGGGGTGAACGACAAGTGGCACTGAAGATGCTGCACGATGAAAATGCTTCATCAATGCAGAGCGAGATTGAAATCATGCGCGCTATCGACCACCCAAACATTGTGAAGATTTTCGGCGCGTGCCAATCACCGGCGTGTCTCATTTTACAGATCGTACACGGAGGAAGCCTTTACGAAGTGTTGCACTGCTCGCCGAACAGGCGAGGAGTAGGTCTCGCCGAGGACAAGGCGCTGCCCATCGCTCGGGACATCGCGAGCGCAATGACGTATTGTCACGAGTTAACGCCGAAAATCATTCACCGAGATCTCAAGCCACAAAACGTCTTAATCGAGCAAGAGACCCTACGCGCGTACTTGGCTGACTTTGGTGTCTCTCGACAAGTCTCAACTCGACTCAACACTAACAGTTATGGCGCGGGCACAGTGAACTACATGGCGCCCGAATTATTCGGCGACGAGAGAGCGGACGAAAAGGTCGACGTGTATTCGTTCGCAATGATCCTTTACGAGACACTCACGGGGAAACAGCCTTGGGTGGGGTTAAACGCGGTGCGAATCGCGTCGATTCTCCTCGAGAACGCTACAGAAACGTCTCGCCCGGCGCTCCCGCCGAGCGCCGAGCTCAACTTGCGAGCGTCCACGCTCGAGCTCATCCAAAAGTGCTGGCGATTCGATCCGAGGTCGCGCCCATCGTTTCGCGAGATCCTCACCGAGCTTGAGCAAGTGCTCTGACACAAACTATTCCTAACCGTATTGATACAAGCGAGCGCACTATGTACAAACTAACAACCAAATCACTCCAGCGCTCCGAAGCTCCGGGTCGCGTGCCTCTTCATTAGCTGCGCGTTCCCCTTTGCGATCATGTCCTCCGTGATCGATCGTGCTTGCTCGTAATCGAACTCTTTCACGTACGTCTCTCTGGCGACGATGATCCGCAGGCACACCTCTGGGTTCACCGACATGAACGCGTCCAACCACTCGTCCCCATCGCCCAACGGAATGCTTTCCATCGCCTTTCGTAAATCGTCGTAATCTGGAGAACCGCACGTCCCGTCCCTGTTCGTCGCCTGCGGTGCGAAACCTCCGTCGTTCCCGGCGCCCTCGAGGTGGGATTGGACGACTCTGATAGCAACCCAGGTGAAGAGCCTGCGAAGCGTCTTCGCTGCCTTCTGTTCCGGGGACTCTCCTTGCCCGTCAGCGGGAATATAGAGCTTGGGGAGATGTGAGTCGCGCCCACTAGCGGTGAGAGATCGACCGCGTGAGTCCGCGGGGCGGTGGATCGGTCGAGCGGGGACGACGCAGACGCGAGCGGCACGCATCGTCGAGAGGCGATTAATGAGGCACGTCGTACATCGATCGATCGATCGATCGAATCTTCTTCGCTCTACTTCATATTCGTCTAAAAGTTCAACCAAGCTGTCATGTATTCGCAGTCTATGGGATTGATCAGGCCATCAGGGCGGCATTCGTTGATCACCGGGCACACGCCGCATGGGATGTCAGTGTAGGGATTGGAATCTGGCACTGGCAGCGCGGCTCTGGAGTAGTACTTCACAGCCTTGAAATCCTCGTCTGCGACCGTCATGCCATCATCTTGCGATTCGTCCTCATTTTCGTCCACTTTGCCGTCGAACACGAGTGTGTTCACTATCTGCAGTACCTCGTCGGTGCCAAGCTCGACGTGACTCAGCTTACTCGAGCGCACGAACTCGCTCACCTCGCTCAGGGTCACTCGATCTCGAGAGTAGATGAACTTCACGCACTGCTCGCGCAGGACGTTGATGAATTCATCATCGTGTGTACCTTCGGTGTACCACGCGCCCCCGGTGATCTCCCGACTCGGCTCGAGCTCGTACAGCATGTACACCTTTCGGTTTTGCTGCGTCACGTGCTTCACCGCCTTGATCAACTTCCTTGCCTCGAGCGTCTTAAAGATCTTCGTGATCTGCGGTACTGGAAGATTCGAGCGCTGCTTCAATTCCTTCGTCCACATCCCCGCGTTCCCGGCGTGTTGAATGATCTGATACACCAGCATGTCCTCCGTGCTCAAACCCTTAAATTTCGCCGCACGCTCCTCTCGCACGCGCGCGTACACCAACGAGTCCCCGCGCTTGAAAATTTCAATCTTCCGCTCGCTCAACAGCGCGTTGATCGCCTCCGCGCGTTCATTCACCGACATCACCCCGTGCAACATCGTCGCTAGATCCTGTTCGCGTACCCCATTCGCCTCTCCGCTCGCGCGCGCGCTCGCGCCGCTCTGCGCGCGCGCTCTCTTGGCTTGCGATTCTTCCTCGATCGCCCGTCCACTCGCCCCGTCCGCTCGTCTGCGCTTCGTCGACGTTTGACCGCTCACCCTCGCGTCGTCCTCGTCGTCGACACCGCGCTCTGAGGCGTCCACATCGACGTCGTCGGCGTCGGCGTCCGCTTTTTCGATGTGTTCGAGAACGATCTTCGCCCGCGCTCGCGCTTCCGCCAAGGCGCTCGCGGCGCTCTGTCTCGACGTCGACGGTGTCATGACCCTCACCCACGAGTCGTCGCCCGTAATAGCCGACGAACGCGCGCTGTCGTCGCGCACGGAGCGGCGATCGATGGAGGAAGCCCCGGCGGCGCCGTGGACCTTAAAGTTGTTACCCCGTAGTGCGTGCACGAAATCCCCATCACGTGTATTCTTGATAGACTTCGGTTCGTTATATGACGAGCACCCGACGCAACGCCCGATGGATCGAATCAACGCCGCGAAATCGGTCGCGTGTGCGGGTCGTGACTCGTCAAAGACCCCCTCTGAGGCTGCGCCCCCGAGCGCCCGGCAGAGGGATCGACGCGCGCGCGCGCGCGTCATAGCGACGCACGCAGTTCGCCGACACGATGTTCGCGACCATGAACGCGATTAAGATCACGCCGTTCGCCAAGCGCCAAGCGCGACGCAACGTCTCCGTGCGAGCGGAGGAGGCCGAGGCCGCCCCGGCGCCGGTCGCGGTACGTTCGGTGTTTCGCGAGACTCGATCGCGCGATCGAGGTGACGCTTTGTCGGCGAGCGTCGGTTCGGGATGAACGGTCGTCGCGTAACGAAGGGTAAAACGACGCATCGATCGAGCGCTCACGCTGAACGAACGTCAGCTCGAGCGACGAGAGACGGGCGTCGAAGAGCTCGATCGCGCGATACGGTGATCGGGGCGTATCTCGGATATGACGCATATGGATCGACCTCGTATTGTGGGTCTATAACGACGATGTGACTGACATCTGAAACTCTTTTTGTATCGCTCGCAGAAGAAGACCCGTAACACGGAAGACCTCGCGCCGCTGTACGTCCTCGGTAACAGCGAGCAATCGCTGTCGTACCTCGACGGGTCGCTTCCGGGCGATTACGGCTTCGATCCGCTCGGCTTGTCCGATCCGGAGGGCGCCGGGGGATTCGTCAACCCGAAGTGGTTGGCGTACTCCGAGCTCATCCACGGCCGCTGGGCGATGCTCGGCGTGGCCGGTATGGTCGCCCCGGAAGTGCTCGGTGGTATGGGTATCATCCCGCAAGAAACCGGCCTCGTTTGGTTCAAGGCTGGGATGATCCCGGCGCAAGGCACGTACGACTACTGGGCCTCGCCGTTCACGATCTTCTGGATCAACGCCTTCTTGATGAACATTGCCGAGCTCCGACGGGCGCAAGACTACTGGAACCCGGGCTCCATGGGCAAGCAAGACTTCGCTGGCTTGGAAAAGATGCTCGGTGGCTCCGGCGACCCGGCGTACCCGGGTGGTTTCTTCAACTTCATGAAGCAGGGTGAGAAGGACATGGCCGCCATGAAGACCAAGGAGATCAAGAACGGCCGCCTCGCCATGATGGCCTGCTTCGGCTGCGGTGCGCAAGCGTGCATGACTGGCGAAGGCCCGGTCAAGAACCTCGTTGACCACGTCATCGACCCGTTCGGCCACAACCTCCTCGTCAACTTCTCCCAAATTGGCGGCGTCTCTCCGTTCTAATTCGGAACTAGATCTGGTCCGGCGATGGCGACGACGCTGCGAAGAGGGTGTTTCGCTCTCCCTCGCCGATCGTCGATTGTGGGGACACAAACCAAAATTAGCTAGTAGCGCAAGTTTGTTTTGATAAACAAAAAGCTTTCAACCAAAAAAACTACAGACTCCATGCCTCGAGGCAGGCATGCGCAGCGTCCAACTCTGACGCGCGCGTGAGCGTCTCTGTCGCGGCGCGAGACGTGTTTGTACCGGCGAGGCGCAGGTGCGAGCGAAAACGCCCACATCGTGTCAAGGCAAGAAGTATTCCCGCGGCGCGCTCGATCGCGGCGCTATCGATCTCTACGCGCGCGCGAATCAGACGCACAAAATCACGCAACAAGTCCAATCCAATTTCAGCCTGCAATGTTTGATGTGAGTCCACTGCGATCGTCGACAGAAACGCTTTCTCACCTTAAATATGACCTCGAACACGTCCAGTGGGATATTGAACAAGAGTTCAGTCTTCCTCCCGTCGTCATCACCGCAGTCACGTCGCCAGACGCGCGCGAATTCGTCGGCGTTGCGAGGCGTTGACATGGTCAACGCCCAGTTGACCTCTCCGCAGTGCGCTCGTGTGGTCGACGTCACGTCGATCGATCGTCGACGGACGCGAACTCCTTTACGATTTTCGATCGTCGCGTTCAGCGGTTTCATCGCTCGAAGTTCGGCGCCCAAAACGAGCTGATGAAAGGCATCATAGTTGCAGCGCTGTCCCGCGGCACGCTTCTTCGCAACTTCCACCGCGCGTCGACTCACGTCTCGCTCAAGCGCGCGGGTGAACGCAACGTCGTCGGTGTCTCGAGACGCATATTCGACGTTCATGGCATCGCGTGCGCGCGTCGAAAAGTGGGGGCGTGCTAGTGGGGAGTTTGCGTATGGAGGGACGTGCAATTTTCCATGAGGAACTTTCCATGAGGAACAAATATCAACAGACCGGTCCATCGAGGCCGACCGTATCGTACTGCGTGTTGCGGGCTATAAAGAACGCGAAGTTACTTAGTAAACTTCGACGTGCCATTGGCCGTTCTTCTTGAGGCCCTCGAGCCACTCTTCGTAGCTGATGCCCTTCTCCTTGCAAACGCCTTCCAACATGCTCAAGATGCCCGGCATCATTCCCTTGAGACCGCAGAAGTACATGTGGGCGCCGCCGTCGAGGAGTTGGAAGACTTGGTCCTTGTACTCCTCGACCTTGTCTTGGATGTACATCTTACCGCCGTTCTTGTTGGTGTCTTCACGAGAGAGAGCGTAGTCGATGCGGAATTGGTCCGGGAAGCGCTTCACCATCTCTTGGAATTCGTCATCGTACAACTTGGCATCGGAGTTGGCGACACCCATGAACAACCACGCGAGGCCCTTGAACTCCCAGCTCGGGATGTCTTCGAGGAAGAATCGACGGAGGTAAGAACGCATCGGGGCGATACCGGTACCGGTGGCGACCATGATAACCGGCGTCGCCGGGTCCTTCGGCAAAAGCATGACCTGACCAGTCGGGCCAGTCATCATGACTTCTTGGCCCGGCTTGGCGTCGCACAAGAAGTTGGAGCAGATACCCTTCTTCGCCGGATCTTCGGCATTCATTTCCGGGTCCCAGTACGTGGCGCGGCGGACGCAAAGCGTCGCCGTCAGGCCATCGTACGAGTCACCGTAGCGGGAGGACGCGATGGAGTAGAGGCGCACGCCATGCGGCACTTCCTTACCCTTAGAGTTCACCTTGGTACCCGGCGGGATGACGCCGTAGGATTGACCTTCCCAGAACGGCATCTTGCCACCGTGCTCGATGATGATGTGGCACGTCTCACCAGTCGCGTTCGGGCCGACGATGCGCTCGACGGATCGAATCGTTCCCACGAACGGTTCCTTGTTCTTGTACGTGTTCAACGGAAGTTCCATCTTTTCCATCTCGAGCGGCACCTTCGCGCGACCGTTCGGGTCGATATTCTTGTCCGCCGTCGTGGACATTTGCAAGCCGAGACCATAGTCCGTGCCTTGCGCCTTGACGGCGACGTTCGCGCGGCGCGCCTTCTGCGCGCGCGTCGCGTTCACCTTGGCGCCAGTGAACGCGGAAACCTAAAATCGTCGTGCAAAAAGGAAGGTACGTCAGTCTTACCACTCGTTTTAATCAGCAAGCAATCACATCGACGCTCGCGTAACGAACACATCGCGGTGGCTTCTTTCGTCGAACCACGCCCCGACCCTCGATCGCGCGAGTCACCCTTTATTTAAGCCGCGTATTTCATCCGCGTACCTTGGCAGAGATCTATTCGAACACACAAGAAACGCCACAGAATATTTTCGTCAGTCATCCAATCACGGCGCGCTTCGATCGCCCGATCGCGCGCGTCAAAACGCGGAATGATCCCACGCGATCGCGCTCGATCGCGACCTCGACCTCCCCGCGCGTTGTTTTCGACGTGTTGACGCGCTTCTTCTGATCCGTTCGCGTCGCGTGTGCGCGCGATCGCGAGGCATTACAGCCCTTCGTGTTCGCTCGCGCGCACGCACCGAGAAAGCCATCGTGTGTGCGTGGACTCGTTCGTGAATGAGTGGCGACGAGGGCGTCGCGCTCGGGGCTTATCCGCGTTTGCGCGAGGCGTCGCGCGAAAAAGGTCCGCGTCGTGTGTGGTGTGCGTCATGTATTTTATGGTGCTTAATGCCATCTAATGGTATCTCTCGGTTGTGTGACACCGCGAGACGTTCTGTGCGATTCAATTTCGGCGTGAGGGGGTTTGTACAGTATTGAACCATCCTTTGAAACCATTTAACGGAACCGACTCTGTGATGTGTCGTGTGCGTATATTGATCTAAGTAAGCACGTGTGGTGCCAAAGTATCGGACGTTCGGTGCGGTCGTGTTCGAATCTCGACGACGTTTGGACATCGTGCGCGGCGTCGTCGCGTCAGAGCGCGTTGTGATTCGGCGCACGCGCGCGCGTGCCGTTGTACGTCCTGCGCGCGCGATTTGAGCCGCTGCTTCGTCGCACGGATCGCGCGAGCGCCCGAGAAGTCATCGGATGGTGACGTCGATGACACCGCGCTCGTGCCCGAGTGTGCCCGCTCGAGCGTCTGTTCGCGGTCGTGTGAGCGCGCGAACGACGCGAGCGCGCCGTCGGGACATTCTCATTCCGAGAGTGGGCGGATCGGACGAGTACGAGAGGTCAGGGTCGTTGTTGGACGCGATGGAGGACGCGTGTCCCGTGCCGCGCGACCAGCGTCCGGCGTCGCAGCTCGCAGAGCTCAAAGACGGTTTCGTGATGTCGTGGCCGACGAACGGAGCGTTGGGGTACGCTGTGCGAATGGGTGCGTTGTTTACGTTCTTCTACGGCGTCGTGGCGTACCCGATCGCGTGCGGGTCCTACGACCCAGAGCGAGAGTTCACGCAGACGGTGGTGAGCGCGCTCGTCGGCGCGAGCGGCGCCACGGCGGCGATGGCGCTGAACATGTATAACGGGTGGGCATACGTCAGGGATCGGTTGTTAAGTGCGACGGTGGAGTACGAAGAGACGGGGTGGTACGATGGACAGGTGTACGTGAAGGATCCAGAGATGTTGGCGCGCGACCGCCTCTTGGGGACATACACCGCGAGACCGGTAGTGGAGTTGTTGAGAAAGACTCTCTTAGCGTGCGGGACGACGGCGATGGTGTCGCTCATCGGGTTGAAATCGATCGATGCCCCGGAAGGCGGGAGGTACGGGGATTACGGGACGAACATGGGGTACTACTCGGAGTCGTCGGCGGCCAAATTCGAAGAGGCGGACGACGACGAGGATATGATCATGATGGCGGAGATGAGCCACTGGTCCGCGCCCGCGATCGAGACCGAGTAGTCGTAGGTTTTGAGTGTAGAATGCAAGCTATGCTATAATTATATCGCTACCTAAGAAGATACCTGCTAGAAGGTTGAATCGAATACCTCGAGAGACTGGATGGCGCTCGCAAAGCGCGTGCACGCCTCGGCATGGTAACTGAATGGCGCGCGAACGTTCCCATGTTCATCCACCACGTTATCACTCGCGCACATCATCCCGAGTTGGGACATTTGAGCACCGTAGAGCGAGGCTAAGGATTCGAGCGTGGCCAAGTCGGCGCCCTCGGCGCTCAAAGCGCGCAGGAGCGAGCTCGAGGCTTTCGTGCTATGGGCGACGATACTTACGCCCTGAGCACTCGGCGGTAACGCGAATGTCTTCACTGCCATCTTCGATTGGTTCGATTCCATGACGTACACGACGTCGCTGGTCGATCTCGGGCCGAGTACGGCCACGCGCGCGGGCACCAAGTCTGGCTCGACACACGTCAGCTCCACGCGCGTCAAACTCGATCGATCGAGCGGCGCGGGCGCGCTCGCACACGCGTTTTCGAGCGCATCACGCTCTCGCGCCGAGCACTCACCGAGTCTGCACACGACTGCGCGCTCGAAATAAAGCGTCGAGCTCGCTTTTTTGCCGTACGCAAAGGCTAACTGTTCGGAGAGCTCGCTCGTGCGCTTGAGGAGCCATGGTAAACCAGATGTCTCCACCTCTCGCTCGTTCTCGAACGGTTCCGCTTCCAGAGTGAAGAACTCGCCATATGAATCGCTCCACGACGCGACGACCCAACGACCAGCGACGATGATGTATGCGCAGTGTAAACCTCTCGTTGTGGACAATTCGGTACTCGCCCTCGGCGTCAATGCGTAGAGCGGTTCGTACGCCGGAAACGAAGAGATTCGACGACCGGTCGCCGTCTCGGGGATGTGAAACATGGGATGGGGTGCGCGTCGTCCGATCACGGCGGCTCCGCACACGCCGCAACGACCGTCCGTCTTCTCGACATTCGTCCCGCTCGTCGGTTCCTGGTGCATATCGTCGTTTGGAAGCTGAACCGCACGTTTCACCGTCGGCCTCGCGAGTTTGGAGAACACACCGAATGCAATCATGCGCACGCTCGCAGAAGAACGCACTCGTGCATCCTCGCACCACGACGCCGGAATCGCTTGCACCGAGATGGACAAGAAGCTTCTGTGTATCGAGCGCGTCACCTCCGCGGCGACGTGCGACGCGAGCGCTAAGATCGTCAGTGCGTCCGCCTCGTCGCACTGATCGGGAATTATCACAAACATCACGCACATTGTCGGTCGAGTCGCGGAGAACTCGGCCATTGTCGTTGCCGCCGCGCCAAACGAAGACGCATATCGCTCCAAAGCGCTTGAGCTTACGTCGCCGACATCGAAAACCCCGTAAGACGCGTCCCTGTCCCCGATCGCGCGCATCACACCAAGACTACATCCCGCATACTCCCTTGCTACCTCCTCGATCGCCATTCGAACGCCCTCCCTCGCACTCGAATCACCGCTTGCGATACACGCAACCCATCGACAGTCCTTTCGTTGCCCACCGTATGCCTCGAACGGCGACGCGCGCCATCGCTCCAGGCACTCACGCGCGCTCACTGTACCAATACCTGAACCCTTGACGTCCAGCCAGTCTCCTTGGTACCTCAAGCGAACCCCTTCGCGCTCGACCGTTTTCGTCGCTGCATCGTTGCACGAGCTATCCGCCGACGCGCGCACGCGCCTTCTCCCCACCCCCACCCGCGCTCTCGCCCTCGTGAACCCACACGCGCGCGAAAACGGATCACACGTCGCCATTGCCGCTCGAGCGATACCTCGCAGCGCGCCGTCGTCGCGCAAAACGCCGCGCGCGATCGCTCTTCGCTGACTCGATGCGATTTTCCACGACGTTTTCCCCTCTCGCGCGGTTTTCGGGAGCTTCCTCGGCGAACGACGCGGCGCCTGAGACGACCACGCGGACACGTACGACGGCTCCACGCTCGCCGGGCGCTCGGGCGAGCTCACGCGCGCGTCGTCGTCCATCACAGACGCGGGACCGTGTGAAGACTTCACGCACTCGGTCGCACTTTGAAAGGCGACATCGGTCGATCACGTTTCGATCTCGTCTGATTTGAATGGTGTTTGTTTCGATGTTCACCGCTCAAACGTCCGGTCGCCGAACCGGCGTTTTTTCAAAAGCACCGCTCGACCTCAACCCGCACGCCCGCAGACGCGCGCGCGGCGCGCACGAGACCGTCGTCGAGGTGAAAGGACACACGGAAAATTCCCCGATCGACACAACCCGTCGCGCGAGCACGAAAGTCTCGAACAACGCGTCGGAGTGACAGTTTACGCTCGCGTGATTCAAACGCCTCGTAACCGTTTGAGGGCGTGCCTTCGAACATGGCGTCTCCGAGAGTGACGCGACGCGCTGCTGCTCACGCGCGGACGAAGTCAAACGTCTCAAATATTCCTCTCATTGATCTCACCAATCGCGGCGGCGCGGCGTCGGCGAGCGAGAGAAAAGCGAAAGATGGCGCGGCGAGAGGAAAGAGTGAGGTCGCGGCGAAGCGACGACGAGACGACGATCTCGGGACGTCGGCGAGCAGGAAGAGCGAAAAACAGGGGAAGAAGACGAAGAGGGATGATTTGAAGTGCGCGGAGACGCTCGCACGAGGACGAGGTGCGTCGAAGTTGACGGCGCATGGTTTGCGTTTCGATCGCGTTTGAATATTTTTGAAAAATTTTGAAACATGAAGTGCCCTGAGACTGACAGAGTGCGTATGTGGTTCCATGACGAACAGCGGTGCCGAATGTGGAACGAGGCATGGTGACGGCGACGAGTTTGGATTACCCGTTCAGCGCGAAGGGTGGGAGACGGGCGATGGAGCTGGTGAAGGAGAACGTGCTGTCGCCGTACGTCGACGACGGGCGATACTTCAAGTGCGTTTGAATTCGAACGCGCGCGTGCGTGTGGGCGATTGGTGACACGGACGAGGGTGAATGAGGGAGCGAAACGTTGAAAGAACGTTCTTTTTCGGTGTTTCTTCGAAAGCTAGTATTGAAGACGCCTTTTTCGCGTGTTCGCGATCGCATGAACTCCGCGCAAACTCAAACGTGGACTAACACGCGCGCGCTTTTTCTTCACTCGCAGTGCGGCGGTACGCCAACAACTCGTCGATTGGATGACGGCTCAGCACAACTCGATGACGCTCGAGGACGAGACGCTACACCTAGCGATCGTGTACGTGGATACGTTCCTCATGCACCGGGTTCCGGACAACTTTTTGATGAGACACGGGAGTGGCAGTGAGCCAGTCGAGGCCAAACCCCTGCGCGCTCTTGATGCGGGTAGAGTATTGCACGCGATGGACTCGCAGCATCCGCTGTGCAACAAGCTCAAGCGTTTAGGTATCACGTGTATTTTCGTCGCCGCGAAGGTGACGGAGGTCACGACGCCGTCGGCAAATGAGTTTGCTCGTCATGCGCAAGTCTCATCGTTCACGCGCGAGCAGCTCCTGCTCGCTGAACGCGCATTGCTTCGCGAGTTGAACTACGCGTTGATTCGTCCAACAGCGTTTTCGTTCGTCGAGGCTTACATCGAGAGCGTTCTTCGATCGACGAACAGCCTGAAAAGGTTTCCCGACCGGATCGATTTTGCAAACTGTCCATTCGCGGACTATGGAGAGGTGTCAACGTGCTTCAAGGAGACGGCTTTTTACCTCGTGGAGCTCACAATGTACGGACACGAGGGTTTGAAGTTCGCGCCGTCTCTGATCGCCGCCGCCGCGGTGGCGGCGGCGTTGGACCGCCTGAAGATCACGTGGGACGAGGTGCCGATCATGGAGGAGATTTCTGGCTACGGGAACGACTCGCTCAAGGAGCCCATGGATTTCCTCCGACGCGTAGCGCGAGACTCGCAGATGATCGAGGAGTACGGTGAAGGTCTGGCGGTGAACGACAAGTACGAAGGTGTCTGTCACTTTTTATTCAGTAGATAGTCTAGTCTCTGAGTCGTGCGAGTATTCATATTGTATCTAGATGGAAGGAGAGAGGGTGTTTTAAATTGCCGCAGCATAGTAGTGGGGGTGTTGACGAAGACCAGTTAACAGACTGTGTGAAACCGCAGTCCTCATGGTTCTTCGCGAAATATATGGACGATTCGATTATATATGTATGATGTATGTATCGCGCTCGACGGTCATGCGGTGGGTCCCGTGCAGGGATGTCACCGTCTACAACTTGACGAGCACGTTATTTCAAACGCCGGTGACGGCGAGTAGAAGATATGTAGCGATGAGGCTAATATATTTCTCAATTTCATAGATTTTTACAAACGCGCTTAGACAATACGTAATAAAGAATCGAACTCATCTCCACATGGAGACACCGGACGAAACGAGCGCGATTACAATGAAGTTTTTCACGTACGTCTCCGGGATCTGCATGGATACGTTCTTCGCCACCAGGTACGACGCCGTCATCGCCGATCCCGCCAAGAGCGCCGCCGCTCGAAACCGCACATTTCCCGCCCTGATGTGCGCCGCGCTCACAGCCGTGTTCGTCAACACCGTGGCCAACAGGGCCGTCCCGCAGATTCTGTGCACCTCCATGTCCGTCATTCCTGTGAGGTACGCGCTCACAAGCACACCCCCACCGACGCCGACCGTCCCCTGCAGCATCCCACAGCACACTCCGAGCGCAAGTATTTCCCGCTCTCCCTCCAACGCCTTCATCCATCCGCCCCACTTATCGTGTCGATCCAAGAATTGATTCCTCACGATTTCCCAAGTGTTCGTCGGCGCCGGCCGCTCGACCTTGATCGCCCACCCTGCCTTTGCCTCTTGCGGCTCCTCCACCTCGTCCACGTGTTTCTTCAGCATCGCGCTCGGCGAGCACAAGATCAACGCCCCACCCAGCGCCTTCCGCAGCGTCTTCCCGCTCAATCTCTTCGCCAACATTTGTCCGACGGGTGTGCACATCGCGCCCACCAACCCCACCGTCGTCGCCGCCGGGACGTCGCTCACGCCGTTCTGCGCGTACGCGAACGATCCCGCCGCGGTGGCACCGGTGACCGCCACGACGGCGGTGCCGACGATGTGTTTCGCCTCGTATCCGAGCTTGGAGAGCGCCGGGATGAAGACGACGGCGCCGCCGAGGCCGGTAACCGCGCTGACTGAGCCCGCGGTGACACCGCTGGCGATCGTGAACGCGCTTCGGGCGAGCGTTGACGCCCTGGCGAGGGCGGGGGAGGCCATTGTGCGTTCGTGGAGGGGTCGGTCGCGACGAAGGCGTCGAAGAAGTGCGGGATGCGTGGGGATTCTGTGGGAGTTCGAGGGGGTGACCTATTCGCGCGGGCGGCGCGGCGGCGACGCCGTCGATTCGGCGGACGACAGGGGGCGTGCGAATGGATCGATGCGCACATAATATTAAGATTAATCATTGCCGACGCGGTGGACGCGACGAGGGCGTCGAGCGAGGACTCTCGATCGCTCGGCCTTGCGGCGGAGACAAGAGGAGACGCCTCGGACAATCGTTTCGACGATCACGCTGGGCGGCGGATTTTATTTTTGATCGAGGATTTATTGCCCCGCGCGCGCAGCACGATCGGCTGCTTCTTCTTGACGCATCTTTGCGATCTTTTTGGAGGCGCCGAGAGCCTTGACGAGGGCGGGTGGCGCGTTGAGCGGCGTGCCGCCGTTGTCATCGCAGTCCTTGCAGTAGCACAATACGATGGTGTCGATCCCAAGCTCTACAAGGGACATGAACACGCTTGCGATGAGGAACGCAAAAAGAACGACGACGATGACGATGAAGAGCGGAGAGCTCACCTTTTCGTCGCCGTAGTTGAACGTGTCGGCGTCGAGCATCAAGAAAGCGATGACGCCAGAGCCGAGAGACACCGTGAGCTTGCCAAGGAAGAGCATGATGTCACCGAGAATGCTAACGGTGGCGATAGAAGTGATGTTCTTCACGATGAGTGCAAGCGCGTTCCAGGCCGAGGTGCAGAAGGATGTGCCCTCGATGGCGGTCATGATGTACGCATTTCGGTTGAACCATTCGATGCACTTTTGCAAGTACCACAGGCAGCACTCGACGTAGTAGCCGACGTACTTTATTATCTTGCTATCCTTGTTCAGTTTCTTCAAGCGGTGCACGACGAAGCGCGTGACGATGCGGATGAACTGCAAGAGCGCGACGAAGAAGGAACCGAGGGCGGCGGAACCGCTGTGGTACCACGTCATTCTCTTCGTCGCGGCAACGATGGGCCAACTCGACGCCGAGTTGTAGGCGCCGCCCTTGAAGTAGTACTGCGTGAAGCAGCACGCGATGACGAGGTAGCTCATCGCAAGGAGCCACTGGGAACCCCACAAGAAACCAAAGACGTAGTACGCGAGGGCACCTTGCAAGTTTCGGTTCCAACTTACGCCGTAGCCGCAGTGGCAGTTGGCGGCGTCGGACGTCGACGCGCAGAACTTCTGCGGTGGAACGCTCGAGTCCAAGTAACAGTCTTGCATTTTCAAGTCACCCGATGAGTACAGGAACACCAATGTGAATAACCAGTAGACGAAAAGGAGAACCATGAAGAGCGCCGGGGTGATCGGGAAGAGCGTGAGCGTCGGCATCTTACCGAGCGCGCTCGTTGCAACCTTGATGACGCCCACGGCAACCTTGACGCGGCGAAGCATGATCAGGGTGAAGACGAAGAAAATGATGGTGAGCGCGAGCGCGATGTACGCAAAAACCTTGAGGACTTGTTGATTATTTTCCGCCGGATCAGCGTAGTTGGTCACGGCCGTCGCAGCGCCCTCTGAGACCTTGCTCACGTACGCGTTGACCTCGTCGGAGCCGATGAGACCAGCCTTGAGGAACAAGTAAATTGTGAGCGCGATGGAGAGCACGTTGACGCAGACGATGATGGTGTACGCGAAGATGCCAGTGAAGTATCGGATGAAGAAAAGGAAGAGGACACTCAGCACGATTGGGCACACGGCGCCGGCGACGACGAGTACTTTCCAACCGGTGGTGAAGTCGTCGACGTAGCGCTCAACCGTCGCGAGCGGACCGCTGAGTAACTTTTCAACTTGATCGCTCAACGTCTGCACAGCGGTGTTCATGCTCGTTAAAGCGACTGGCCATGAACCGGCAGTAGGTGTATCGTTCGTCGTGAACGCGTAAGACCCGCTGCGCAATTCGGTGAGGGCGTGGTCATCGCCGCTACCAAAGAACTGGCACGTGAAAAACGTGTTGACGGTGTTGACGAGCACCGGGTAGCACGGTCCTTTCATCTGTTGCGACGTTGTCTTCTCAGAAGAAGACAACGAAGAGTAGTAATCGTAGTCGTTGGCCGCCCAGTTCTCGCGAGTTCCCGCCAAAGCGTGATCAGGTGAGCAGAACCACTGCACTTGACCCGAAGTGTTCTTCGGCGTCGGGCACTCCTTGACGCAGTAGCTCTTCGCGTCACGCAGATTGTAGTTACCCATCCTCGTCGTGCCATCGAGCGCGCCGGCGGCGTACATTACTTCGAGTGGGTTCACAAGGTACCGAGTCTTGAACCCGGTGTTGTTCCCCTCACCGCACAGCTCGCCGTTGAAGTCGGCGCCGAACACGAGCGCCGTGGGGTCGCCCTTGCCCACGCCGTAAAATCCGAGCGCGAACATCGCGATCCAAAACGCGACGTATACGATGAGGAACAAAATATCCGTGCATCGTCGCGGTTTCTTCAGGTGCGCGTCCATCTCATCGCTGCGATGGCCGAAAACACTCGTCAGTCTCTCCGCGCGCGCGTCGCCAGCTGGCGAAACTGCATTCCGCGCGCGATCCCTCCCACGCCCGCGTCGCGCACCGATCGCCCCTTCCCTACCGCCGCGCGCGCGCGCGATCACACCACCCCATTCCGCGTCCTCGAACACCCCGACCCCCACCCGGCGCGCCGGCACGCACGATTCCCATCCGATCGACGCCATCCAATCGTTCACGCGCCCATTCGGGTCGAATCCCCCAAGCCCACGTCCACCGTCCCACGAGCATCGCATCACGCGCGCGCGATCGATCGAGGAACGCGCGCGCGTCGCGTTCGCACCTCATCGCGCGCGCGCGCGCCCGTCGCGAGGTCACGCGCGCGCGATGTCGACGCGCCCGCGGGCCGCGCGCCGGTTCACGTACTGTACGCACGAGCGCCCCATATACGGGATCCACACAGGGCACCACCGGAGACGCGCCGTCGCGATTTTTTCTTTTTCTTGTCGGCACGTGAAAACACCCGGTAGTGGTGATGTCATGTCATCATCGCATCCGACGGTGCGCGAACACGCGATGTATTGTGATATTTGTCAGTTCACGACTCGTCAATCATACACGGACGCGCTCGAGCGCGTTTATTTATGCATTCATTTATTTATGCATGCACGCCCGACGACGCCCCCTACGACGACCGCGCGATCGCCATCGCGCGCGACGCCGACGTCGACCGTCGTGAAGATCGACACGGACTTATCGCGCGCGCACTACGAGGTCGCGGACGACGCCGAAACGCGTCGACGTCGGCACCGCGCGCCGACGGACGCGGCACCGCGCTCGGGCGCGCGCGATGGGCGACGACGACGCGCGCGCGACGGGTGGGAACGCCGCGCGCGTGGTGAGGTGCGAAGACGCGAACGGGGGCGCGTCGGACGGGGGCGAGGGGTGGGCGCGAGGCTTGACGAATGATCTCGAGGCGCGCGGGACGGGGGACGGGGGACGCGGTGCGCGCGCGCGAATTCGGGCGAGGGACTGACCGAGGGACCGGGGGGGGTCGTGCGTCGAGCGCAGGCGTTCGGCGCAGTTTCGGGCGCTGATTCGTAAGAATTACGTGCTGAAGACGAAGGGCGTGTTGCGATGCTGCACGCTGTGCGAGATCTTGGTTCCGGTGATCTTCTTGGCGCTCATGTGCCTTCCCAGGGCGCTCGTTCCGGACAGTCGGACGAATGATGAGCTGTCGAGGCCGTATTCGCTCGCGGGGGGGATCGAGAGCGCGAGTCAGAGACAATTGAAAGGGTTTCGATTCGTCGTGTCGCCGGCGACGGCGGAGACGATGGAATTGGGACGACGGGCGTACGTCCACGCGTCGTGCCTGAGCGAGCGCTCGAGCGCGCCGGATAGGGCGCTAGCGACGGATAATGAGAGTTGGCGGAAGAGCTTTTTCAATTTGATGTACGATCAGGCGATGAACTCGTCGGGAGTTGCCACGGGAGTGAAGTCGGCGTTTCAGGCGAAAGGGTACAACGCGAGCGCGATGGCGACTGCGTGTTCGGAGGCAACCTTACAGAATGCGGGGAGTTTCGATTCGGAGTGGGACGCGATCTTGGATGAGGTCGTGGTGACCAAGGCGGACGAAACCGCGGCGCTCGCGTACATCGCCGACAACCCGGGAGAGGTTCTCGCGTACGCGCAGTTCACATCCGGTGGCTCCATCTCGTCCACGACTGAGTTTAAGTACACGCTGAGGATGAACTCGACGAACGTCAACCGCAAGGAGAAGAGGGTTGGTACGTTCATGGAGGAAGACTTCTCGGGTAGGTGGGAGAGCGCGTACAACACCGACGAGTGGACCAAGTATCGGGCGTTCGCCTACGCGCAGAACGCATTTGACGCGGCAATCATAGACATGAAGGACGGTGGAAACGATTACGGCGTCACATTGGACGCGTCACTGAAACCGTTTCCCTGGGTTGGAATGGATTACAACGTCGGCGGCGTCATCGCTGCAGCTTTTTACGGCTTTGTCGGCGCGCTCGCGTTTCAAACGAATGTCGTCCTCGTCATGAAATCTATCGTGGTAGAGAAAGAGTTGCGTCTCAGAGAGGGTATGAAGATGATGGGCATGTCGAACACGATGTTTTGGTGGTCGTGGTTCGTGACCCACTGGCTATCGGCGATGATCTCTGTCGTCTTGATCACTCTAGTCGGGATTTACCCATTCATCTACACGAATCAGTTCATACAGTTCCTATTTTACACCTTTTGGGTCGCGTCTCTGACGCTTTGGAACTTTTGGATATCCACCTTCTTTTCAAAGTCTATCACCGCCACCATTGTGGGCTGTTTTGTATACGTCGTCACCATGGTGCCGTCCATCGCCGTTCGCATCACCGCTCCAGAGGGCACCGGAGGTTGGATCGCCGCGTGCGTATTTCCCTCGGGGGCGATGAACATGTGGGGCGCCGCTTTAGCAATTTTAGAGGTGAACAAGAAGGGTATCACGTTCGAGACATTCAACACGGATGTGACGCTGAAGGGAAACGTGACATGTGCGAAAATATTCGCCATGGTAATTTTCGACTGCCTCTTATACGCGTTTCTCACCTTTTACTTTGACGCGGTGTGGAAGACCGAGTACGGGACGCGTCGACCGTTTTATTTCCTCTTTACTCGCGACTATTGGTTCGGAGAGTCGGCAAGGCGTTCCGCCGGCGCCAACCGCGTCGTGGGGCTCGAGCAGGAATCGGGAGACAACGTCGAAGCACTGACGCAACAGCAACTCAGCAGCGCAAGCATTGTCGTTCGCGGTCTTACGAAACAGTTTGGTCAAAACGTCACCGCGGTGGATGACTTGACGATGACGTTTGTGCCGGGTCAAGTGAGCGGACTTCTCGGTCATAATGGCGCGGGAAAGACGACGACGATAAGCATCCTCACCGGGCTGATCGACAGTACCTCCGGTCACGCGACAGTCAACGGATACGATACGCAGACGCAGATGCGAGAAATCCGCGGCAGTCTCGGTATTTGTCCTCAATTCGACGTGCTCTGGCCAACTTTAACGGTTCGTGAGCACTTGGAGCTGTACGCTGCATTCGCGGGGATGGAGAAAGAATCAATAACACCGCAGCTCGAGAGAGTCGTTGCCGAGGTCGCGCTGACAGAGAAGATTGACGTCAACTCCTCCGATCTCTCGGGCGGCATGAAGCGGAAGCTTTCGCTCGCGGTCGCTTTCATCGGAGATCCATCAGTCGTGTTTCTAGACGAGCCAACTTCCGGGATGGATCCTTACTCGAGGCGATTCACCTGGGACGTCATTCGGAGAAGGGCGGCGAATTGCACCGTGTTGCTCACCACGCACTTCCTCGACGAGGCCGATTTGTTGTGCGATCGCGTCGCAATCATGAGTGCGGGGAAACTGGCTTGCATCGGATCGCCGCTATTCCTCAAGTCGAGATTCGGCACTGGCTACTTACTCACGTTTGCACGACGCACACGCGCGTCGTCTGGCAAGCTCGACGCCATGGCGCAGCACAATACCAACGCCACGCTGAGATTTATCCAAAAGTTTGTGCCCAACGCCGTCGTGCACAGCGATGTCGGCGCCGAACTTTCGTTCGCGCTTCCTTTTGAATCTACCGGTGTGTTTTCGGAGCTATTCAAGGCGCTTGATACGCAGAGCGCCGAACTTGGTTACACAAGTTACGGCGTGAGTTGCACCACTCTCGAGGATGTCTTCCTCACTCTGGCTCACGCCGGTGGTCCAAACAAGTCGACACCGAGCGAAAAGGTTGACTTGGACGTGCCCGCGCTCGAACCGAACGATGATGAGTCGCAAGACGCGCGCATGCTCTCCATCAAACGTACAGAGGCGCGCAAGCAGTTCGCCACCGGGAGCGCGTTGCTCAAGGTTCAGCTTCGTCGATTGCTATGGAAGCGTCGACTCAACCTGAGACGGACAATACGACAGTACGTCATGAAGATGATCGCCCCGTGTTGGATGGTCATCTTAGCGCTCTACTTGTCCAAGCTCTCGTGGGATCCTAGCGATACGATCAATCCGAAACTCATCGGACGGCAGATGGTTGACAACAAGAAGATGCTCGTCACGTACCCGTCGGTCGACGTCGAGGCGGGTTTGGTGTCCATGAAATTGGGCTCCAACGGCTACGACCTCCATCCGCAGTACTCTCCAGAGATCAACTGCATGTGTAACTGCCTTGCGAAGGATCAAACGATCACGTTCAGCGCGCTGACGTGCTGCATGTACAATAGGACTATTGAGGCGCAGTGCACTGCGGTGGCGGCATTGCTTCTCGTCGACAACTGTGCAAAATCCACGCAGGGCTGGGACGTACAAGCCGATGTTTTCGGCACGTCTTGTTCGGGATTAATCGACACGAGCTTCGATGCGCACTTGCTCAACATCCAAGAGAAGTCTCGCCCGTGTGACATGCAGCCAAAAGCTCCTTGCGACGTCCTGTACGTGGATCATTACAACGCGTCGCACTACAGTCACACGCTGTACACCCATCAGACGGCTTATCACGCGGTTCCGGCCGCTATCAACACTGCAAATCAAGCAATTTTGCGCAAACGCACATCGGACGACGCTGCGAGCATCGATACCACCATTTACTGGTACCCCAGTCTGGTCAACACCAAGAAGGAGGGTGACGTCGAGGAGTCGGACAACGCGAGCTCCACCTTTGTCGTCGCGATGTTCATCGTTATGGGCATGGCCATTCTGACCGCTGGCATTTCTGTCTTCCCTGTGTATGAGCGATGCAACAACTCTAAACATCTTCAGCTTGTCAGCGGCGTTGATAAGCGAATGTACTGGCTGTCGCATTTCATCGCCGACGTCTTCTCATTGGTGCTTCCGTACGTTATCACTCTTCTCATCTTTGTGGGTTACAACACGTCGTATTACAAGGATCAACTCGGCGCCATCGCGTTACTACTGTTTTTTTTCTTGTTGACAGCGATTCCACACTCCCATTTTCAAGGATTCGCGTACACGAGCGAGTACTACACCTTCGTGGGACAAATCGCCACGAACACCTTTTTCGGAGTTGTCACAACCATCGCTGGCATCGTGACAGACGCTCTGAAAGATCTGAACAAAGAAACGCTTCTGGTGAGCCGACTGTTCAACTACGTGTTTCCGCTCGTCATTCCACATTTTAGCCTAGGAAAAGGTCTTTACGATCTCGCGCAGAACGGTCTGGATGCGACACGAAAGATATATCGAGAAGACTGCATGTGTCTCGTGCCCGTCGTTCCGAAGGGTTCGTACACAGTCATCGCAGACGACTTAGGTTACTTGATCGGAACCTTCTTCATGTGGACCGCGTTCTTGTTCGTCAAGGAGTATCAAGAAGTGTTGTCGAACTGGAGACTCAAACGTGGCGGTTTCTCAAATGTGCCGCAGCAGAGTGCTGACGAAGATGATGACGTTGCCGCTGAGCGCAAACGAGTGCTTGATGGTGACGTCGAGGACGATGGCGTCGTCGTGCACCACTTGTCGAAGATGTACAAGGCTATGACGTCATCGAAACTTGCGGTGCGTAACATCAGCGTCGGTTTGCATCGCGATCAATGCTTCGGTTTGCTTGGAATCAACGGCGCGGGTAAGACGACGACATTCAAGATGCTCACGGGAGAATTCCCGCCGACAACTGGAGACGCGATCGTCCGAGCTCGCGATAATACCTCGCACAGCGTGACCAGCGATCTGGATCAAGCTCGGAAGCTCATGGGCTACTGTCCGCAGTTCAACGGGTTACAGCCGAACTTCACTGCTAGGGAACACATCGAGTTCTACGCCGCCATTCGCGGCATGCCGTCAGAGACGATACCGGCGACAACCACAGAGCTCCTCAAGCGCATGGATTTGACCAAGTACGCCGACCGACAAGCGGGCACGTACAGTGGTGGGAACAAACGTAAGCTCTCCGTGGCGCTTGCGCTTGTTGGAGAACCGGAAGTCGTCTTCTTAGACGAACCGTCCACGGGCATGGACCCAGAAGCAAGACGATTCATGTGGGACGTCATCTCATCGATGGTCGTCGGACGCACTATCGTGCTCACTTCGCACTCGATGGAAGAGTGCGAGGCGCTCTGCAATCGCATCGGTATCATGGTCGGTGGTGAGTTCAAGTGTCTTGGTTCTTTACAGCACTTGAAATCCCGATTCAGTGAAGGTTACACGATCGATGTGCGATTCGCTGAGGGTAAAGGACCGGCAGTGTTGAACGCACTGCACGCGACGTACGCCGATCTAGGCGCGGAGATCGCGGAAACACACGAGACAGAAATCAAGATGCGTGTCACCGATCCGGAAATTAAACTCTGGCGCATGTTCGAGGCCGTCGAGGCTCTGAAGAATTCTCACGACGAGACGATTCGTATAGACGACTACAGCGTCTCCCAAACGACGCTCGAACAAGTATTCATTCGATTCGCCAAGGATCAAAAGGAAGAAACGCACGCGGCTCCAGGTTTGCGATAGTATGTACGTACATACTCTGTATAAAAATATCATAACGATACGTAATTCTAGGTACCGGTACCTACAAGTATTAGGCATAATTTTTCAACGCAAGTTTTTTTCAGATAATTCCTTCCGCCTGCGCCTCCAAAGGCGCGGGTGTGTCAAGACAGACGCCTCTCTTCTCGAGTTTTCTCGCCCTCGTCATCGCTTGCGGGCGCAGAAGTTGCGCGATTTCATCGGGCTTCGCGTATTGCGCCGCGATCTCGGCCACGGGCCTTCCGGTCGCCAAAGCCTCCTTCGCCACTGCAGAAGACTTCTTGTAGCCGATGAGAGGCAAGAGCGCGGTGACGATACCGATGGAGTTATCCACGGATCTCTTGCACACCTCCGGATTGGCGGTGATGCCATCGATGCACTTCGTACGAAGCGTGTTCAATCCGCGCTCCAGCATGTCCATATTGTTAAGCAAATTGTATACGATGACGGGCTCAAAGACGTTGAGCTGAAGCTGCGCAGCCTCGGACGCTGCCGCGATGGAGGCGTCCGTGCCGATGATTTGAAAGCACACCTGGTTCATCACTTCCGGAATGACTGGATTTATCTTACCGGGCATGATGGACGATCCCGGGGCGACCGCTGGGAGATTGATCTCGTTCAACCCGCACCGCGGACCGCTCGAGAGCAACCGCAAGTCGTTGCAAATCTTTGATATCTTAATAGCGATGCGACGTAAAATATTACTGAAGAGCAAGAAGCTCGACGTCGAGCTCGATGCCTCGATGAAATCGTTGGGCGAGCGCATCGGAAGTCCCGTGAGCTCAGATAGCGCGCGCACGGCCTCATCGGCGAACGAAGTATCGGCGCATATGGACGTCCCGATTGCTGTTCCGCCGAGATTCATCTCGTACATTTGATCAATGTTTCGCTCCAAATACGTCAGATCCGCTGCCAACGTAGCCGCGAAGGAGTGGAACTCCTGACCAAGTGTCATCGGCACCGCATCTTGCAACTGTGTCCGCCCCATCTTAATCACATCCTCGAATTCGTCCCCTTTTGCTCGTAAACTTGTGATGACGCCGCGCACGGCGTCCACCAAGCTTGAATGCCTCAAAACCACCGCCAACTTCGCCGCCGTCGGATACGCGTCGTTCGTGCTCTGACACAGATTCACATGATCGTTCGGATTCACCACGGCGTAGTCTCCGATCGGCAATCCCAACTTCCTGGCTGCTAAATTCGCGATGACCTCGTTGGCGTTCATGTTTGTGCTCGTCCCGGCGCCCCCTTGAATCACATCCACTGTAAAGTGATGATGATGCTCCGACGACTCGATCAACGCATCGCACGCGTGTGTTATCGCTTCATACACCTCGTTGTCCAATAAACCAATCCTACGATTCGCCGTCGCGCACGCCTTCTTCGTCAACGCGAGCGCTCGGACCAACTCTGGATACTTACTCAGCCTGTTCCCAGTGATGTCGTAATTTTCCATCGCCCGCGCCGTGGCGATCCCGTACAGCGCGTGACTCGGGATCTCCATCGTCCCTAATAAATCACTCTCCGTCCTCGTGCTCTCGATCTGCTCCCAGCGCACGCTGCTGAACGCGCGCACGCGATTCTTTCGCAGAACACCAACCGGCGTCGCGGTCGTCTTCGTCACCGCATCTTCACCGCGCGCACCCTCAACGAACGCCTCCGAAGCTCTCAAATCGCGTCCGATGATGCCAATAATATTTCTTTCGATGATTAAACCATCGCGCAGGCGCTTCGTCGCCCGCGAGAGCGTTGAGCGGAGCATCAACGACTAACACCGCGTTGCAGTGGCGTTTTCCCCTTGGTGCCTTGCCACGTCGGATGATTGGCGTGCTTTTGTCTATTATTAGAGGACTTTCGTGCACAGTATGGAATCGAGCGTTTTGGCTTCGGATGGTTGTGGTTTTCGTATGCGATGACGTCGATGGTTGCGGCGACAGAGCGCGATGTCGCTCGTCAAGAGCGGTGCGAGCGCGCGCGTGGGTGCGAATGCGCGTGTTCTAGGGTCTCGTTCGAAGTTTGCGGCGAATGCGCGGTGCGCGAGGGTGAGAGCGACGAGATTTTCACGTGAAGCGGATGAAGATCACAGAGGCTTTAGTCGATTTTTTAGCGACGTGAAGCGCGATGCGGTGGCTCTGAGCGTCGCAGCGGGCGTGGTTTCATCGGTGGTATTCGTGGGCGTCGCCGAGGCGCGTTTAGAGGGGGTGAACAATCCGCAATTACTCCCGGAGGGGACTCCGGTGCCCGTGCTCGACGTCGCTGGGTATCTTGGGAAGTCGGACGTCGCGCGGTTGACGAAGACGGTGGAGAGCTTGGAGCGCGATACGGGGTTGAAGCTCAGAGTTCTCGCCCAAGCGTACCCGCAAACGCCCGGGTTGGCGGTGAAAGAGTACTGGAACGTGGATGACGACACGGTCGTGTTCGTTGCCGACCCAGGTCTGGGGAACATATTGAACTTCAGCGTCGGCGCAAACGTCGATTTAGAGATCCCGCCCTCGTTCTGGACAAGGTTGGCGAACAAATACGGGACAAAATTTTATTGGAGTGAAAAGGGTGAGGAGGCGAGCATCTCCGCCGCGGTGAACGCGGTGAACCAGTGTGCGCGTGAGCCGCAGGGACGCGCCAAGTGCTCGAAAATCGCCGAGTATGACACCGAGTATAAATCGACCGCGTTCGACGAACCGAAGAGCGGCGGACTCGGTGGTTTGTTCACCAAGCCGTTTTAATCGCAATCCAGTCGTTTTGTTCCTTTCGTTTCACTCCTACAGACGTCCGAGAAGACGCTTCTCTCATCTCTCCTCTCGTCTTCCAGAAAGTTGTTTCCATTGGGACACGCTTTTCCGATACATCCTCTTAAATTACATATTGTACGACATGCATCATCCAAAACCCTGAATAGTAGGTCAGCGACATCGACGTCTCGCCCTCTGTCCGCGCGCGCGCGACGCCCGACACACCCGCGCGCGCACTCACGCGTCCGAGCATTTTTCACCACCTCCGCACACCTCGCAGACGCCACGTCCGCGACGCTTCACTCGTCTCTGAGACGTAAACACAACAAGAAATCCACATGTTTGCCATCGCGAACGTCACCGCGCTCACCGCGCCCGCGCGCGCGCGCGTCTCCGCTCCGGCGAAGCGCTCTCGCGTCGTCGTCACCAAGGCGGGCATGCGCGCAGACACCGTCCAAGCCATGGGCGACCGCGTGCTCGTGATCGCGGACGCGGCGGAGTCGCAGACCAAGGGGGGGCTGTTCTTGGCCTCCAGCGGCAGCGCGGGCGGTCCCGGGAGCACGATGACCGGTAAGGTTGCCTCCGTCGGTAGCGACGTGAAGGGGATCAACAAAGGGGACGCCGTCATGGTGAATGGATTCTCCGGCACGGAGGTCGAGTTCGAGGACGGGAGCAAGGGCAAGTTTGTGAACTCGGCGGACGTGCTCGCGGTGCTCTCGGCGTAGACGACGAAAGGACGCGACGCGACGAGCGGATAGGATGAGCATCGTCTCAGTAGAGTAGAGCGCCCGAGGGACGACTTTGTTATGCGCACAAACACAAAGAATGTGAACTTTGCGATTTTAAGATTACACGCGGCGTGCGGCGACGATTTATTCAGATGCGGGATTGTGGAAGTGGAACTTTTCCGCGCCGAGCGCGCCCATGACGGTGTCAAAGATGCCGAATTGACCGGCGGTGAGCGTACCGATCATGACGCAACGCATGGGCAAACCTTGCGTGCAGAGCTTGACGATGCCCGTCTCGGCGGCGATGCGGCCGAGACGAGTTATGATGGAGCCGGTTCCGCCGGCGCCAGCCTTGTTGACCTTGGACAGGAGCGTATCGGCGGGGTGAGAGATGATGGCGGCGACTACACCGGCGATGACACCGGAGGAAAGAGACACGGAGACGTTCTCCGAGCTCGTGCATTCCTTCGGCGTCTTACCCATTGAATCGTAGATCGCTTCGGCGGCGCGGCCTTGGACCGCGAACTTGGCCATGGTGTACGGCACTTGCTTGGCCAAGATCGGCCCGAAACCGGAGTAGAAACCGGAGATGATGCCCTCCTCCGACGCCATCTTCATCATGGCGCTGATCGTGGACGGGGCGTACGTCGGGTTGGACACCAAACGAATGCGCGTCGCCTCGAGCGGACAGAGGAACACATCCGCGACGAACTCAGCGCCGGCGGCGGAGCCGAGGTAAATGGAGTTGCGGTTGTCCCACGCCTCTTGCTCGGTCATCCTCTGCGCGGCGGAGATCTTAAACAGCTCCACCCCACCGAACTTGAACCAACCTTGAATGAAGTAACCGACGACAGTCGGTCCAAGACCGGTGAGTAGCGCTCCGGCGCCCTCCTCGGAGACAACCTTACCGAAGCTCGACATGATGCCCGAGTACTTCGCCGGATCGAGCTGCATGCGCGTCTTCACGACGTCCACGGGCGTCACCGCGCCGTGCGTCGCACCGCAGCAGATCCCCCCCGCGAGCGCAGATCGCAGGTAGTAATCCATCCCATACTCCTTCTTCGACGGAATCATGAACGCACCGTTCGTCGCCGTCTTCAGCGCCGTCGCCGTCTGCGGCGCGCTGTACAAGCCGCTCGGCGTCGCCGCCTTGATAAAATCCTTGATCGCCATCCGTGCCTGTCATCCAACACAACCTCGCGCCGCTTTCGTCAGTCGTCAGATCCCACGCGCACGCGCGTCTTTCACCCCCACCCGCGCCGTCGCGCGCGCACGCCGCGCGCGCGCGACCGAACACGCGCATCCAGATGATCGCTCATCGTGTGTCGCCCGAGACCGATCGCCCCCCATCCCGCGCCCGCGAATCCGACGCCGCGCCGAGACCGCGCGCGCGGAGACCGCGCGCGTCGGTGCGACGCCTTCGCCCGCCGCGCGCGCGTCGAGCGAGACGACGACGACGCACCGCGCGTGATCGAGTGCGGCGGTCGACGCGCGCCAGCCCGAGGGCGACCATCCATACATAACGCGCGTGAAGCCCATGGAGACGAACACACGACGTCGAGCCCGGCGCCACGGAATGCCACACATGGGACTATTGCACACAATGTACGCACGTCACATCCCCGCGCGATGGCGTGGACGTACGTCTTCGACCTCGACGGCACCCTGTACGACATCGGGAACGGGTACGAGCGACGATGTCGCGCGCGCGTGTACGAGTACATGCGCGACGCCCTCGGGTGCGAGAGCGTGGCGCGGGCGGAGGAGATTTGGCGCGAACATTTTCCGAAACACAACCAAACGCTGCGAGCGCTGCGACGGGCGGGGTACGACGTCGACGCGGACGCGTACTGGGCGCGCACGCGCGGGGATCCGTCGGAATTTTTAACCCCGCGCGCGGAGACGCGAGCGATGTTGGACGCGATCGCGGCGACTGGGGGGCGTCGATTGGTGTTTACGAATTGTCACGAACGCCAGGCGCGCGAGGCGTTGCGGGCGCTCGGGATCGAAGATTGCTTCGACGGCGTCTTCGGCGCGGGTGGGATGGGTGACGAGGCGAAACCGAGCGCGGGGGCGTTCGAGCGATTTTTCCACGCGCACGACGTGCGAGATCCCACGCGATGCGTCTTTTTCGAGGATAGTCTGAAAAATTTGCGCGCGGCGAGCTCGCTCTTCGGCATGGTCACCGTCTTGATCGCCGGTAAGACCTTGGACGAGGAGGTGCGTGAAAACGACGTCAACGCATCGTCGACGGACACCACGGCGGTGGAGACACCGACGTCGTTCGTCGATCTCGTCGTCGCCGGGGGCGTCCTGGACGTCGACGCGCTCCGTCGCGGCGCCGCGCGCGCGACCGCGCGAGCTCGACTCGCCCTCGGATTCGCCCTCGACCGCGATTCGTGACCGCATCGCCATCGCTCGATGTTCCCGTTCGCGCGAGGCGACCACTCACTATGTATCCACGCGCGTCCCGACGCGCGTCGCCCCGACCTCTCTCTGGTTTCCCACATAGCCTTGTTTCACCTCCACTAGTCGTTATCCACACAGACCCTCTCGACCGCGCAAACGACGCGGTGGACGCGCCGCACTCCGCGTCGCCCCGCGCGCGCGCCCCCCGAACGCGCGTCGCACCGAGGAGATGCCGTGTGTCGTCCCCGCGCCCGCGCGCGCGACGCTCGGCGCGCGCGCGCGCGCACCGAGGACGACGCGCGCGCGAATGCCCTCGCGCGCACGCGCCGAGCGCCGTCGCGCGCGCGCGCGCGCCGTGGGCCCGCGCGACGACGCCGATCGATCGCGCGATGAGTGGGAACGAGAGAAGAAAATACCCACCGTCGATGTGCGGAGAGATCAGGGCAAGGGGAAGAGCGCGCGAGGAGAGATTGAGATCTCGAAGCCGGACGGCGCGAGAGTCGAGGACCAGATCGGGATCGACGACGACGCGCTGGAAAATGGGACGGATGCGGAGATCGCGGGCGATGAGGGGGTGAAGGGGTTGAATAATATTTCGTCGAGCGATCACGGGGAGTGCGTGAGCGATCCGCTCGCTTCGGCGGCGGAGGCGGCGACGGCGCGACTCCGAGCGAGGTTGAACAGGGTCGCCGCGGACGCGAGCGGGACGGCTTCCGCTGACGCGGACACGGCGTCGATGAAGGAGCTCACGAGGAGGTTTTATGAAATCGAGTGCGAGGCGTCGGCGTTGCAGGCGATCGAGGCGCAGATGGAGGACGCGGTGGCGGAGGAGGACTTTGCGAGCGCGGCTTCGTTAAAGCGGGCGGCGGACGCCTTGCGGGCGACGGACGAGACAGGTAAATTGTGCGATAGGTACGCGGACGCCATCAAAAACGAGCGCTTTGAGGAGGCGGTTGCGCTCAGAGACGCCGGGGTCGGAATGTGCGGCTGGTGGGCGGGCGTGGAGGAGCGCTCGACGCAAGGTGAGGACGACGAAGAGCCGACGACGGCTGCCACGGGCGTCATCATGAGAATCAGCCGAGAGCACGGGAGACTCGTGGGAGCGACGTATTCCCCGAGAGATTTAGCGGACATCGTTGAATTGAACAAGGCGTACCCGGAAGGGTACGATTACGAGGCAGGACAACCGGTGATGGAGATCATCGTGAGAGAGGACGCTTCGTCACCGACTGGGTACTCCAGGGACGTCGTGCGACTGAATTACGTCCCGATGTCCATCCCATTGGTGGATGAGGAAGAGGACGCTCTGACCGACGGTGTCGGTTTCATGACGGCGTCCGCCGGCACTTCCGAGGCCTTGGGTGCCATCGAGCAGGCTGAGCGCCTTCGCAGTCGCGAGAACATTGACGACGTCAAGGAGGAGATCAAGGCCAAGCTTCTTGGACTCGATCCCGCGTCTGGAAAGCCGCGCGATGAGATCCTCGAGGAGGTTGGAGCGATGCTCGATAAGTTTGACGACGTCATGAGTGCGGAAGAGAACGACGATGAGGACGAAGAGACTTTGTACGACGTCACGCGCAGCGTCGCGGCGCTGAATCCAGAGGGTCTGCACGCTTTCATCCTCACGAGCGACAGCGAGATGGTACCACTCGGTGAGGGCGCTGCAGACGAGGAAGAGCCGTTTTCGAAAACGTTAGATGAGGAGATGGAGGGATTTTTGGCCGCCAAGTGGGAGAGCATGGCTACGAGCGATTCCTCTGACGCAAAGTCAGGCGCGCTCGGCGCGAGCTCCCACGCCGCGCTCGTCAGTGCGGTGAAGGAAGCGGCGCAAGAGATGTTCGCGCACCACGATCAAGACGACGAAGACGACGGGGAGAAGTACTTTGACGATGGCGAAGACGATGTAGACGAAATGAGCGCGGAGGAACTTCTCGCGCTCATCGGCCAGGACGACATCTTGCATCGCCCGCTCCCCAATCGTGTGCGATTCCAACGCATTGACCCGTCGCTCGCGTCGGGATCGAGGAAGGACATCTTCGATCGCTTGTACATCGGTGCCTTCGGCCCGCACGGTCCGGAGGTCCTGCGTCTCGTCCGCGGGCGCTGGGGGGACGAGGACGGCGACTCCAACGACTGCGTCACGGCCGTCAAGCTCACCGGGGATGAAAATGTCCCGTGTGGCGCTGCAAGCTTCCGCGCGAAAGTGAACAAGTCCAACTTGATCACCGAAGGCGGTTCCTACCCCGACGATCTCGGTGTTATTGCGCGGTATAAGGGTGAAGGGCGTGTCGCCAAGCCCGGATTCACCGAGTCGCACTGGGTCGAGGGCGAGCTCCTCGTCCTGAACGGCCGAGGGGGCTCCCTCACCGGCGGCGCCGAACTGGGATTCGTTTGGGCCGTCCCGGGTGAGCGACGTTTGCTCATTCTTTTCTCCGCTTTGGCGCTTCCAGAGGTTGAAATCATCCCCGAACCGCGTTAACGCGGCTCCCGCCTGCTTTCTTCACATCTCATCATTCTTTTCAAGCCGCCGCATTTTTGTGTCCAACAGCGACCTCTAGAACGTAAAACGTAAAATAATCATTTGTTGTAACGAGTACGAATACGTAGTCGACGTAATCAACGCCCTGTACCGGTAAACTCTAAAGCGTTCGGTGTGAATTACATTGCCACTTTTCGCCCGCGACTGGCGTCGCGCGCGTCCTCTAAACGCGCCTCTCACTTTGCGTTCGGATTCGCGGCGAGGTACGCCACCGCCTCGGGCACGCTCTGAATCTTATCCGCCTCAGCGTCGGGAATCTCCACCGCGAACTCCTCCTCCATCGCCATCACCACCTCCACGACGTCGAGCGAATCGAGTCCCAGATCGCTCGCGAACGCGCTCGTGGCGCTCACCTTGGCCGCGTCCACCTTTGCAAAATTCTTCACCACGCGCACCACACGATCGGTGACATCATCCTTATTTAAAAACCCGGCGCCGTACGCCCGCAACGTCAACGCCTGCGCGCGAGCGACACCATTCGTCGGTCAATCTTAGGTTTCCCGAGCGCGATTTTCGATCGAGCGACGTTCGCCATCCACGCCGCGCGTCGCGACGATGGAGACCCCGACGCGCGTCGCGCGCGATCGATCGCGCGCACCTCACTCGCGGTCGGCGCGCGCGTCGCGCTCGCGCGCGCGATCGCGCGAAGCGCCCCTCGACGAAGCATCGCTCGACGTCGCGCGGTGTGGCGCGGTGGGCGTCGGGCGGGCGGGGGGGTCGTCGTATTCCACGCGTCAGAGCGCTATATGTGCCGTCCACGCGTTCGGTCCTCGTATTCTATGTGTACGCACGCGATATGTGTCATCCACGCGAGCGGTGCACGCGCGCGTGGATGACATATATAGCGCTCCGACGCGTGGTATACGACACACAATCGCGTGGATGACATATATAGCGCTCCGACGTGTGGTATACGACACACAATCGCGTGGATGACATATATAGCGCTCCGACGCGTGGAATACGACGATGCCCACGCCCCGCCATCGCGCGACGCGCGACGTCCACCGCGCGCGCGCGTCTCGCGGCGTCCGTCGCGATCGCGTCGCGGTCGGCGCCCCGGAATCGGGCGCGTGCATTTTTCCCTCGCGCGCGCGCGCGCCGTCGGGCGCGCGCGAGAGAGAGAGCGCGAGGCATGCGCGCGCGTTGGCGCTCGCGGGG